CAACACTTAAATGGGCTGCTTTGGTTATTTTTGCACGCACGCACTGTTTTTTTGATTCCAAAGCTTTAAAATTTTTGCTTTTGCTGCATCTGAGCAGAACAGGCAGCAGATGGACCCAGCAATCCAACTCCTTGCTAAACTTTCTGAGTTTCCCATTCTTGATGCTTGAGCAATGGCAAGAAACTCCTGAATTGGAGCTTGGCGATATTCAGTGGTTTGGCCAACTTTTTATCATCCTGCAGTGAACCAGGCGACATCTGCAGCCGGCCTGAAAGCTCGAGCTTCTGAACGTGCTCCATGTTGGCAAGAAGAAATTTTGGTGAAGATTTCCAATTTTTTACTAATTATACACGCAAAAGCCAAAAGCTTCGGCCCATAGTGAGGGGTCAAAATCGTCATTTGCAGCTTCAAAATGAGGCAATCTCTCCCCGAAAATAATTGAGGAGTGTTTGCAGCAGGTTTTAAATCTAAAAATAGTCTCTTTCAATCGCCCAGTATAGAAGCGAAATTCCATCTAGGACCCGAACTTGCAAACAAGCGAGTGACAAAAAAGTCCTTCTCAGGTCTCAGTACGATTTCTAGTACCCATGAATGAATGGAACCATCGCGGCGTTGATGGGCAGGTACCAAGACGTGTTTATCTATGGTTCTGACGAAGTGCATCGACCGAAGAACCCAACAAATGCGAAACATCCTGTCGGACAATTTTCGATTCGATAACTCGGGCAGTTGAAACCGAGCCAACAAACGCACGACCTTTACACGCTGCAGTACCATTTCAGCTCATTGTTCCTGCATCGGTTCTATGAAATATACATTTGGATTTTTCGTCTACCTATCGAATGGAATTAGAGCTGATTAGAGTGTCGGTAGCCGTGAATACGAAGTGAGCGGCAAGCTGAGAGCAGTTGGGCGAAGAAGAAACTCAGTGAAACATGATGGCATGGATTTGGGTGAGTGCCTGGTTTACTCACATGGTGGTACCCAATAGAGTGACTAGTAAAGCTCTGAGTGCAGAGTTGATTTAATCCATCAAAGTACTGTTTTTCGTCCACCTTTAAATGGTTTTAGTCGCTATTTTAGTGGGTCATTCACGAAGTTTTCTGGCGCTCATTTCGCATCCAACTAAGATTTGGTTCGGTGCTAATTTTGCGGTCAACATTACATAAAAAAGTCATTGAACGCTTGCTTAGGAAAATCGAATAGTTTTTGAAAACAGCCGGGCTAAAACATCCCCTGGGTTGGAATGCAAAAAAACCCTCAGACAATGGGGCGAAAGGGCTAAAAGCGAGTAAACCATCGAAAAGACCACAACATTTTCGCTAAATAGTGCGTACCTTGCCGTTTTGTCGTCACCAAATGTGCCCAATTAACATAATAATTATTACAAAGCTACAGCAAGTTTACCTTGGACGGCGGTCAATCATCCAGTTGTCCAATCAACAAAAAAACTGAGAATTTTGCGTCATTTTTTGCAGTCACTTTTTAGTGAAAATATGTTAGTTCCCAATAACTCCGTACATAAATGAAAAAACCCAATTTATTCGAACACGAAGTGTTTCAAAAGGTCATTAAAAAACTTCAATATATGGACTTAATTGAACCCCGCTGTACTTTAGACCCAATTTTTTGAAATCGCTATTATTAGCTGTCGTCTGCTTAACGTTTCTTGCTTATCGAAAAATGCACCGTTCAGTAGGATATAATGGTTTGTTAATTAGGCGTTGTTTTTGTTTATATTAGATTGCTCTTAATCCCGTATCAAGTCGTAAAGTGAGTGATTTGGTAAAACAATCATAAGGTCAAGTTCAATTTTATTAGTTTATCCAGGGGCTGCTTTTCATATGCAATTGTTCTAAGCAGGCGTTTTGAATGAAGGTTTTCCTAAGGGGATTTTTCAAAAATAATTAAAAAATTGCAATTTTTTCGCTGCTTTTGAGATGTTTTTCGAGGATTAAAATTGGCTCATTGGCTTCTCGCAATTGTTGTATTAAGCCCGGTTGTACAATGGAAGCTTAAGCTTGGATTAAACTGAACCTGAATTTTGGACACCCTGTATCAAGTATTATTATCTTTAAATAATCTAGACGTTATTATCTGCAACTTGTATTTAATAATTTTCCTTAACTTTCAAATTAGGTATGAAAACACTTTAATCAATAATCCTGTCTACCTGAGCTTCAGTTTGTTTTGGCTTAACTGACTCAATTWTAACCCGATTTTGAAAATTCWAAAACTGCCCAGAAGCCCAGTTAARCGGCTTYCATGTGCCAGTTTCGTAATGCAAAAAAAAACTGGCGRAAAACATCAAATATACAAAAAAATCTCTGTACAAASCAGCGTCTCATTAAAGACACTATTGACGGCACRAATATCACGTCTTTATGACGTCTGTACGACRTAAATTTGCACATCAGACAGTTCTGGRGCTGAGCTTACGAAAAGATCATTACGACTGATTGGATGTTTCAAACCCTTTTCGAGATACAGGGTGTTAAACATCGAGACCGGCCAAATTTTTTACATTTTGGCTTCCATCTCTTTTCAGGTTACTAATTTATAATGAAACCTTACCAGTAAAAGACAGCTCTTGAGCTGGACTGTCGAAAAGGTGTTAACGATTATTTGAAGATTTCAAAGCGTTTTTGAAATAAAGGGTGTTAAACATCCAGACTCTCAAAATTTTCGACATTTTTGTTTCTAATTCCTTTGAGGTTAGGAACTTATAATGAGACTCCACTAGTGAAAGACAGTTTTTGAGCTGAGCTTTCGAAAAGTTCATGACGACTGATTGGATATTTGAAACCCTTTTCGGGATACAGGGTGTTAAACATCGAGACTGGCCAAATTTTTGACATTTTGGCTTCCATCTCTTTTCAGGTTACTRATTTATAATGAAACCTTACCAGCAAAAGACAGCTCTTGGGCTGGGCTATCGAAAAGGTCATAACGATTATTTGGAGATTTCAAACCGTTTTTGAAATAAAGGGTGKTAAACATCCAGACTCCCCAAATTTTCGACATTTTTGTTTCTAATTCCTTTGAGGTTAGGAATTTATAATGAGACACCACTAGTKAAASACAGCTATTGAGCTGAACTTTCGAAAAGGTCATGASGACTGATTGGATATTTCAAACCCTTTTCGGRATACAGRGKGTTAAACATCGAGACCGGMCAAATTTTKGACATTTTGGCTTCTATCTCTTTTCAGGTTAGRAATTTATAATGAAACCTTTCTAGTATTTCTAGGCTCTTGAGCTGGGCTATCGAAAAGGTCTTAACGRTTATTTGGCGATTCCARACCGTTTTTGAGATATASGCTGTTTAAAGTTTCGATAGCCYCAAAAATCGAGACATTTTCTATCATATCTCCTTGGAAGTTGGGAATTTCTGAGGAAACCTCATGGAGGAAAGAAGGATTTTGAGATTGGCTAGCAAAAAGGTTATTAGAACTATTTCGATATTTTAGCCTGTTTTAGAGATATGACGTTTTAAACTTTCAGACTGCTGAATGGGGGCGAAGCCCCAGCTCAACCTTTGAATTTTTAGTTTGAGAATCAAGCCCAACACTTCTTCTTGGCCTGTTTCCAGTTTCAGCGCGATGTCTTCAAAAATGCGGCCAGAATTCACTAATAGTTAATCCAGCTTTTACTAATAAATCAATGGTGTACATTTACACGCTAAATGTGGTTTGAATAACCATGTCAAAATCCTCTTTAAAAAATCTTTTGAGACATTAAAACCCCCCAAAAAACTTTCAATTTTCAACATCTTCCTCCTTAAAAACTTGGCTAATTATTGTCTTTTTGCAGTCACATTGGTTGGCGATTGTGGCAACTCTTTGCATGCTTTTGCTGATCCATAAGAGCTACAGATGGATCTACATAGTGTATAAAACATTTCCTAGAGATGCCAAGTAAGTAGCCCCGTACGACTGGAAAAATGTTGGAAAATTCAGGGTTGATTTCAGAGCCGGATACCGATTCGCCAAGTTGAACTGGCGGATGTCCAGATGGATCAAAGCCAAAGCAACCGTTCCAAGCATTTTCCGACAGTTGGTGGAAAAGCATCCTGCTAAGGTGATTTTCTTCTTTGAAGAGGAATCATGGACATTCCAGAAGGTATTTGCTGATTCTATTGCCTCTGGGCATGATTTTTTTTTTATTTTGGGCCGTATTGCAGCTAGATGAGTTCAGCAACCAAGTGGCTCACCACTTCAAAGCAAAGGGTTTCCAGAAAGGCGACTCAGTTGCTCTTATGATGGAAAATCGACCGGAATACGTCGGATTTTGGCTTGGACTTTCCAAGATCGGCGTGACTGCTGCTCTGATCAACACCAATCTGGTCTCGGACTCCCTCATTCACTCCCTCAAAATCTCCAACACCAAAGCGCTGATCTATGGCAAGGATTTTGAAAAAGGTAGCTTGAACTAGTGATGGTAAAATAAAAATATATAAAATATAAAACCAGCACCTCTATATCAGATGGTGAAGGGTTTTTGGCGAAACTTTTCGCATCTTTAGCACCTAGTGTCTTTTAAAGAAGGCGAAAATTTTAGATTGCTACTGGCTTTAGTTTGGATGAGGCGGGTTTCTAAATTAGAAAGCGCGATTGGGTAAAAAGTGTAACTTTGAGAGCGATTTTTACTAAACTGACAAACCTCAGGACTTAATGCGATTTTGCTGAAACTCTGAGCATCTTTAGTACCGAGTGTCCTCTGAAGGCAACGAAAATTTCAAGTTGCTGCTTGATTTTCTTTGGACCAGGCGATTTTTTCAAAGAGAGGGCGCAGTCGGGCCAAAAGTTTCATTTTGAGAGGCGAATTCTACTAAACAGCAAAGCTCAGAATTACCTGCGATTTTTGTGAAGCTGTTTTCGTCTTAAGAATGGAGAATCTTTTAAACGGTGTCAAAGTTACAAGTTGCTACTTGCTTTCGTCTGAACGAGGCAATGTTTTAGAACAGAAAGAGCAATAAGGAAAAATGTTTGATTTTGAGAGCGATTTTTACTCAACTTGCAAAACTCAGAACTTGGGGGGATTTTTGTGAAACTCTTCACATCTTTAGACCCAAGTCTCCTTTAAAGCGGGTAAAAATTGCTACTTGCTTTACTCTCAACGAGGCGAATTTTTAGAACAGAGTGCGTAGTTGGAAAAAACGTTTTATTTTCAGAGCGAATTCACTAAACTGGAAAACCTCCAAATTTAGGGCAATTTTTCTCAAACTCTCCGCGTCTTTAGAATCGAGTGTCCTTTAAACACAACGAAAATTTCACGTTGCTACTTGCTTTCGTTTGGACAAGGCGAATTTTTAAAGGAGAGAACGCATTTGGGTGAAACTTTGCATTTTGAGACCGACAACACTCAGAATTTTGGGGTATGCTGGTGAAACTCTTGGAACCTTTAGACTGAAGTGTCCTTTAAAGGATGTAAACATTTCAAGTTGCTACTTGCTTTCGTTTGAAGGAGGCCAATTTTTAAAACTAAGAGAGTAATGAGGGGAAAAGTTTCATTTTGGGAGCGATTTAACTAAACTGGCAACACTCAGAACTTGGGGGGATTTTTGTGAAACTCTTGACATCTATAGACCCAAGTGTCCTTTAAAGCGGGTAAACATTTCAAGTTGCTACTTGCTTTCGTCTGCAGAAGGCTAATTTTTAAAACTAAGAGAGCAATGGGGGAAAAGTTTGATTTTGAGAGCGATTTTTACTGAACTGGCCAAACTCAGAACTTGGTGGGATTCTTGTGAAACCCTTGACATCTTTAGACCTAAGTGTCCTTTAAAGCAGCAAAAAATTTCAAGTTGCTACTTGCTTTAGTCTTAACGAGGCGAATTTTTAAAACAGAAAGCGTAGTTGCATAAAACATTTCATTTTCAGAGCGAATTCACTAAACCGGGAATCCTCCGAATTTAGAACGATTTTACTCAAACTCTCCGCGTCTTTAGAACCGAGTGTCCTTTAAACACAACGGAAATTTCAAGTTGCTACTTGCTTTCGTTTGGACAAGGCGAATTTTTAAAGGAGAGACCGCAGTTGGGTAAAACTTTGCATTTTGAGASCGACATTCACTTAACCGACAATATTCAGAAGTTTGGGGAATCGTGGTGAAACTCTTGGAACTTTTAGACTCAATTSTCCTTTAAAGTATGTAAAAATTTCAAGTTGCTACTTGCATTCGTCTGAACGAGGCCAATTTTTGAAGCAGAGGGGAAAAAAGTTTCATTTTGGGAGCGATTTAACTAAACTGGCAAACTGGAAATTTTCCAGCGATTTTTGTGAAACTCTTCGGGTCTTTAGAATCAAGTGTCCTTTAAAGAGGGTGAAAGTTTCAACTTGCTATTTGCTTTCGATCGGACGGAACAATTTTTTTAAGTCGATAGTCGATATTCACTTTGAACTGGCAAACTGCAGTATTTTAGGCAATTTGCTCGCTGCACATTTAGAATCAAGTGCGGCTGCTACTCATTTTCGTTTGGAGGAGGCGAGTTTTTAAAACAGGGAATTTTGCAGCTGTTGCAGGCATCCAGCTGGATTTGCCCAAGTTCCAATTTGTACCATCTGCATCAGAGGGTTTAGCGGAGGAGATCAGTAGAGAGCCGAGGGGGGAAGTTTCTGAGCAAGAGCAGATCCTGCCCACCGATAAGATTATGTACATTTTCACCTCTGGAACCACTGGCTTGCCCAAGGCAGCAATGATAACGCATATCAGGTAGGCGGACTGGAAAAGCTAAGAAAAAGACAAACAAACGTGTTCTTCTCCAGATACATCTATGCAGCTGTGGGCATAAACAGTTTAACAAACCTTTCGCCCAGCGACATCCTCTACAACCCGTTGCCCTTCTACCATACGGCTGGAGGAATGCTGGCAGTTGGCCAAGGGCTGATTTTCGGGCTCAGTCTCGCTCTAAGGAAGAAATTCTCCGCCTCCAACTATTGGGCAGACTGCCGCAAATACAACTGCACTGTAAGTGCCCAGGAATTTGAGGTCCTTTTGAGGCAACAGCTGGCTGTTTTAGGTGGCAGTTTACATCGGTGAAATCTGCCGGTATCTTCTAGTGGCGCACCAACCAGGCTCCCAAGTGGACCATCCGGTGAAGAAAATGGTGGGGAACGGCCTGCGGCCTCAAATCTGGACGGAATTCATCGAAACTTTCCACATTGAGAACGTTTTTGAGTTTTACGGCTCGACTGAAGGCAACTCCAACTTAAGTATGCCCACCCCGGCCCGAATTCAAACCTAAAAATCTAACTAATTGCATGTTTAGTCAACATCGACAACACGCCTGGATCAGTGGGATTTGTGCCAATTTACGCCAGCCGAGTGTATCCAGTGATTTTAATCCGGTGCGATGAAAACACCGGATCGCCACTCAGACAGGCGAATGGTTGCTGCATCCGCTGCAAAACGAACGAAGCAGGACTTCTGATCGGGAAAGTGCTGAAGAATCGCGTTCACCGGGAGTTTGCTGGATACGCCGATGAAAAGGCCACGGAAACCAAGCTGCTGAGGAACGTGTTCAAGATGGGCGATTTGTACTTCAACTCGGGCGATATTCTGATCCAAGACGAGTTTGGGAATTACTACTTCAAGGACCGAACTGGAGACACTTTCCGGTGAGAATCGCTACTGTGTAAAACTGTCTGGATTGTTGCATGGAAGTTTCATCTGGCTCAGAACTGAGAGGTCTGGCAAATCAATCACTGATGGTCTTATTTGCAGGTGGAAAGGGGAGAACGTAGCTACAAGTGAAGTTGAGGCAGTTATCAGCAACGTAGCTGGACTGAAAGACACCGTGGTCTATGGAGTCCAAGTGAGTTAACGTGTCTGGTCGAGTCTAGTCAGATTTTTGGTATTGACTGCATTTAAGAGAGAAACTGTTGCTCTAAATGAGTGTCCACTTGCTAATTTCTGGAACTTTTTCTTATTTTTTAAGGATTTTTTGAATATGCGGCCAAAGATTGTACTTTACGCAGGTTGAACAATGACTTTTTCAAAAATTCGTCACGAAGAACTGAATCTAGTCAGATTTATAGTCTTAACTGCATTTAAGAGAGAGACTGTTGCTCTAAATGAGTGCCCATTTGCTAATTCCCGGAATTTTTTCTTATTTTTTAAGGATTTTTGAATACGCGGCCAAAGATTGTGCTTTACGCGGGTTGAGCAATGACTTTTGCAAAAATTCGTCATGAAGAACTGAATTTAGTCACTTTTTTGGTATTGACTGCATTTAATAGAGAAACTGTTGCTCTAAGTGAGTGCTCACTTGCTAATTCCTGGAATGTTTACTTGTTTTTTAAGGATTTTTTTAATACGCGGCCGAAGATTGTGCTTTACGCGGGTTGAGCAATGACTTTTTCAAAAATTCGTCACGAAGAACTGAATTTAGTCACTTTTTTGGTATTCACTGCATTTAATAGAGAAACTGTTGCTCTAAATGAGTGCTCACTTGCTAATTCCTGGAATTTTTTCTTGTTTTTTAAGGATTTTTTTAATACGCGGCCAAAGATTGTGCTTTACGCGGGTTGAGCAATGACTTTTTCAAAAATTCGTCACAAAGAACTGAATCAAGTCACTTTTTTGGTATTGACTGCATTTAATAGAGAAACTGTTGCTCTGCGCTATGTGGTGATTTCCTAAGTGGCACGATGGTTCATTATGTTGTGGCAAATGTTTAAACTTAGCCCTGAATGTTGTTCTGTACCACGATTGGACAACGACTTTCCCAAAAAAAGCCACTAAAAATTGAAAACAGATTAAAAGTTGAGACGAAAGTGCTTTCATCGAGCAAGCATTGGTCTAAAACGGTGGCCATTTGATAATTTATTGCATTTTCGGTTCATTTTTAGCCGATTTTTTAAAACGCTGCCACCAATCGTGCTCGGGACAGGTATTTAAAAATTATTCAGTCTGAATTGGATAGAGATTAAACGTTGTTATACTCGTCCTTTAATAGACAAACTGTTGATTTCAACATGCAACAATTTTCTAAGTAGCGGGATTTGTGGCAGTTTTTTTATCGGGATTTTTCTGAGAAATTTTGAGTTTTTGTATGTATTTATTTTCTGTTACTAAGACACTAAACTGTATTCTTCACGTTGCTCACTCCAGATCCCTGGCACTGAAGGAAGAGCAGGCATGGCAGTAATCGAAGACCCCGATGGGAGCCTGGACGTAACCAAACTGGCCCAAGGCCTAAAGTCCAGACTGCCTAGATATGCAATTCCCATTTTCCTCAGGATCATGGACTCGCTCTCCATCACTGGAACCTTCAAGTTGAAGAAAGTGGATCTGCAGAACGAGGCTGTAGACTTTGGGACCAACCAGGACCGTCGCCTCTACTTCTACAGCTCTGAATCCAGCGACTATCGGCCCTTAACATCGGAGATTTATCAGGAGATTGTGGACGGCAAAGTCAAAGTGTAGTTGAATGGATCCTCCAATAAAAACTTTACAATTTATGAGGCGTTTCTCTCCCTGATCAATACCACTGTCGCCATGGGCGCTCCATTACTACAAACAAGTTGGGTTGGAAAATTGTTTGTGAAACTTCCAGGCCGAGCAATGGAGAAACACTTAAGGCCAGTGTTCACTCTGGAGTTGGGATATAAAATCCTGGCAGGTCTGGTGACTATTGGGAAATTCGATGGGACGCATCCCTGCCTGACGGCAGCCACCAGCACAGACAAAGTGGGCGTCAACAGAGGATTCGAGCAAGTTAAGCTGGAGCTTGTTTTGCAGGTTCTGATCCACAGTCCGCATCGCAGAAACGCTTCTGAGGTGGGAAAACTGGTCTGGTCGGAATCCAACAAGGAAATCGCCACTTTGAACGTGAATCAACCGGTCACCGCCCTGCAGGCTGGCCAGCTGATTCCGGGCTCGGACAAAGACATTCTAGCTATCGGTAGGTCGGAGTAGAACCTGTGAGCTTCTGCTGAAACCCCGAACTGTTCAAGGCACCGCAAGCAACCTGCTAGTCTACCACGTGCACGACAACAAGGACATTTTCTACAAAGAATGTGAGGATGGAGTCCGATCGATCACCATCGGCCAGTTCCACCAGTTCAAGAGCAACATCTTGCTGGTTGGAGGAAACTCATCGATCCATGGCTACGACCATACCGGTCAGGACGTGTTCTGGGTGGCCATCGGCGACATCGTCACCGCCCTGGTCCTAATGGACTACAACCTGGATGGCAGCAATGAGCTGATTGTCAGCTCAGAAGACTACAACATCCGCGTTCTGAGCGGCGACAATGTGATAGCCGAGCACAACGAAACCGAAGTGGTTTCCGGACTATCCGGCCTACCGGATCAGAGGTTCGCCTACTCAGTATCCAATGGGACTGTGGGCGTTTACGAGAGGAAATCGCGACTTTGGCGCGTCAAGGTTTCCATTCCCCCTTAATAGTTTCCCTTCACTGACGAGGTTCCTGGTTTCAGTCGAAGAACTTTGCGGTTTCGATGCATCAGTACGACCTGCTGGGCCAGGCGGCTGCTCAGCTGATCACTGGCTGGTCCAATGGGAAGATCGACTGCAGAAACTTCAACACTGGCGAGGTGCTGTTCAAGGACTCCATGCCCTCCAGCCTGGCGGGAATTGTGGAAGGCGACTACCGATCAATGGGCAGGAATGACTTGATTTGCGTCTCAACTGAAGGAGAAGGCACGTAATTGCTAGATAAGTTCTATATTGTTGAGGCGGATTCATTTTTTACAAACTTCTTTT